CGTCTGGGCAAATTAGCTCTCCTGACCATCGGGACACTGCCTGGCTTGATTCTTTTCGCACCTGTTTTCATTGCAACGAAATACATCTCCAAGAAGAAGTCGCAAGAAGCACTGGCCGCATCTACCGTGAAACTTCAAGGACGTGATGTCATGGCAACCTGGAAGCTACTCGTCGCCCTTGCTTTCGCCCCCGCAGTGTATGCATTCTACACTGCAGCCTTCACCTGGTGGGCGTACCACAACCGTATCCAGGGGCTTGTTCCTGTCTGGATGCCTTTGTGGTTGATCGTGCCTATCGGGATGATCTTATTCCCAACCATTACTTTCGCAGCGCTTCGCATCGGCGAGGTGGGCATGGATATTGTGAAATCTCTGAGACCATTGGTGCTATCTTTGAATCCTTCCTCAGCCAATACTCTTGTGAAGGTGCGCGAAAGACGCGCTGCACTTGCTCAACAAGTCACTGAAGTCATAAATACTCTGGGCCCAGAGTTATTCCCAGACTTTGATGCCGCAAGGATCGTCACGGATCCCTTCCGTGGAGACCACCGACCAGCCGGAAAGACAGAAGTTGATCATGCAGCCGTGCCTGAAATCAGAAGAACTGGCGCAACAGATACGGAGGTGGAATCTCCAACACAAGAGCCTCTTCCTCGCAATGAGTCATTCCACAACCTTGCCAACATTGGTTTTTTCTCTACGAGACCTTCGAGCCGTTCTCGAAGCCGTAGTGGCTCGTTTGGGGGTCGACCTGGCTCCTCAGGGCAACAGTTGAAGCCATTGAGCCAGGTGACAACGAAAGACGGGTTTGAAGAAGTCAGCTCGAAGATTCGCGACGCTATGCGCGAACGGGGCGAACGCAGGCGCCGGAGAAGCGAGGATGGAAGCTGGGACATGGCCAGCTCTGGTCCAGGCACGCCTTCGAGTGAAGGAAGCCGGAAAGATTATTAAAGTTGGAAATGTGGGGAGCACCGCAATAGCCATGTATTTCGCACATGAGCGCTAGGTTGGTGCATGTGTTTACTTCCTTTCACTAATGTCAATGAATCATGGAATGAACATCTTGTGTATTGGCTAGCTTAGGTTCTGATACCTGCTAGAATATATATACGTAATGAGATAGTGATCTGAAGCCTATAAATCTTCTTTCAGGTGGTATATCGATGGCATCAACTCTCAGCCAGAATTGGACACATTGATATAATCAGGTGGTCACTGCCAGGCTTTTAAGAAGAGCTCATGAACGTATTATGCTTTGCAGGGGCGTGGAGAGCACAAGCATATGAAGTTGATCTATTGCTATTGCGGATAACTTTGCCGTTGCCGCTCATGATGAACGGAATAGGCCGGCCAAGACCTCGGACGTTGGACGTTTGAACCACAGTTTACACGTGGGCCAGGAATGTTCGGTAGAATACCCTAGATACATACTCCGTACAACATTGCCCTTGACCCACCATTTTGGCGGACTGGATGATCTGGCCTTCTCATTAATTATTCATCTACATTCCTATTCCTGTTCTTGTCAGCTCACAGCCGTGGATCAGCTCTCTGTCTGCTGATTTGCTTGGCGGTTTTGCCTCCTACGACATCAATCACCGCCGGCTTGCGTCCAATTTTAGTACCTTCGATTTCGCGTTGGCAGGAAAATAGTGTAGCCTGATGGACACAGCCCTACGAGTTAAGACCATCTCCCTGTCATATCATACTTAGTCGGTGGAGTTTTCGTGCGAGAGACCTGCGTCAAAACTCCAGTTCTCTTCGTGTTGAGAAATTTGGGACAGTGTTCCATCCTCCTGACGACGTCCGCTCGCTCCGCAAGAGAAAGATTCCACCAGCGTCGCCAGTGATCTAAAGCCACGGCCATTTTTTCCTTATCTAATAGATCCTTCGACGATTCGACCAGAAATCATTAATTACACGATTCACCATGGCTACATCAATGCACCTATCGAAGCTCCGGAATTGGTTCCTCGCGTCTCCTCCGGCCGAGTTCATCATAGCCAGACTGCGCGAGCTATTGATCGGAGCGCTCAAGCAAGGGCCGGTGCCACAGCACATTGCATTTGTTATGGACGGGAATCGGAGATTTGCAAGATCGCATGGCATTGAGACTGTAGAGGGGCATAATCTGGGATTCGAGGCTCTGGCAAGGGTAAGCCGCCCCTTTTCGAAGATCTGCCTGTTGTTACAAAAGCAACCACCCGGTTCTCGGTTGTTCGTCTGGTACTGACTGTTCGTGATGGTCTCTAGATCCTTGAAGTCTGCTACAAATGTGGTGTGAAAGTTGTGACCATATATGCGTTTAGCATCGAAAATTTCAAACGCTCAAAGTTCGAGGTGGATGCATTGATGGATATGGCCAAAGTGAAATTGCAACAAATGGCACAACACGGAGATCTTTTGGATCGTTACGGAGCAAAGGTTCGAGTGCTGGGTCGGTTGGACTTGTTGAAGCCCGACGTCCTTGAAGCGGTGAACCGAGCTGTGGAAATGACCAGCCGCAATGGTGAACGTGTCCTTAACATCTGTTTCCCGTATACGTCACGAGATGAAATCACCGGTGCTATTCGCGATACTGTGGCCGATTACAGCAAGCCCCTGAAATCCATCCGCTCAAACTCTTCCGCGCGAACACCATTCTCCGAGGCTCAAATTGCGCTCAAAATCCGTGCTCAAGCACAGAGTGCGAAGGTGGAGCAAGACACAATTAGCGATAACGAATCTACCTCCGTGTCCTCAATACCAGAAGAAGATCCAAGTGACAGAAGTGAAGGTCCAGACAAGGTCTATGAAGCGGGTTCCGGGTTCTCCTCCTCTACAACCCTACATCTCGGTGGGCATCAGGACGCGGCGAATGGGAAGGCTCCAGAGCTAGGGAACGCATCGGAATCGGGAAAGATTGTCTTTCCATCACCAGACACCATCACCCGTCAGACACTAACAGATCATATGTTGACCAAGGGCAACCCCCCACTTGATCTACTGGTCCGAACATCTGGAGTGGAACGCCTTAGTGACTTCATGCTCTGGCAGTGCGATGAGGACACGGAGATTGTCTTCCTGGATGTCCTGTGGCCCGAATTTGATTTGTGGCATTTCCTGCCTGTCCTTCTCGGCTGGCAAAGGAGGATCTCTAAGTCGAAAAAGAACCCCGACGCTGAAGGAAACTTTGATGGTGACATCAGTGAAGTTTCTGATGCCGAACTCCATTCCAGTGGAAAGGTCAAAGGCTTGTAAATGATGAAGCCATTGCATGGGGCAGCTGGGAGTTTGGAGTTTTTCCTAGGGAGTAAACATTATACCACAGTATCGATTTGAGAATAATGATTACAATAGATTTCCGATTGTCCTGCTGAAAATGGCCCAGGAATTTGTGTCCTCTGAAGTATATGTGTTATCAACATTTGAGGCAGTAGTCTCTGCCAGGTCCCAGATCCAATTAACCCCACTACTAGTCGGTACCCCACTATCGCCGATTTAAGCAATGAACTAGCGCAAGTGCGATATCAACCTTCTGCCTATCTTCTTTTGCTCAATGCCTCTTTGCCTCTTATGAACCATTAAATAGGGCTTGCATTCCATCATTTAGCTCTCTTGCAGGACTTGATCCAGAGTCCATAAACCGAAGAGAGCAAACGACCACCCCACACAACGCATCATCATTCAACCCCAAGCACAACCCACCCATCAGCTTAAGAACATCCACTGAAACGAGGAAGAGAAGAAAAGCAAAAGCCTCAAACATCAAAATGGCCAGGGCTGAAGCTGAAGCCGAAGCTGAAGCCACCACCGACCCAAAAAGCCCCATCACCATAATCGGAATCTCCGGCCCCTCATCCAGCGGCAAGACAACCCTAGCCCGGCTCCTGCAGCGGATATTCGCGCATGCCAACGAAAAACTGCGGACCTTTATCATGCACGAGGATGACTTTTACCTCCCTGATGATCGGTTAGTATCCCCAATCTCACCTACCCTCGACGGGATTTCCAGTATGGTAACCAATCCAGAATCCCATACACGACAACTGCCTCCGGCAAAACAGTCCAAGACTGGGACACCGTCGAGGCCATCGACGTGCCGTTCATGGCCGCAGCGCTGTCCTACGTCCGGCAGCACGGCCGGCTCCCCCCGCGCCTGAAGAGCAAGGAGGATCTCAACGAGGCGTCGGATTCGGGCGTCAGCGACGAGACGATTACCCAGCTGCAGCGCCAGGTTTCTGACAAGCTGCGGCAGGTTGGACCGGCTTTGGCGGGAGACGGGGGAGGGGGAAAGCGGACGGTTGTCTTCTTCGAGGGGTTTTTGTTGTTTAGTCCGCCCGAGGCGGAGGTCAGGGAGCATGTGCTGCGGCCGGTGCATGAGCAGCTCGATGTGCGTTTGTTTTTGCCGGCGCCGTATGATGCTGTCAAGGACCGTCGCGAGAGGAGGAGTGGCTATGTGACTATTGGACCGGCTCCTGTCCCGCCGCTGCCGCACAGGGGATCGTCGGCTTCCGAGGATGCGAACCAGCATGTTGATTTGGAGGCAGAGGATGATGCCCCGCCGCAGAACTTTTGGACAGATCCGCCGGGCTACGTGGATGATATTGTTTGGCCACGATACGTACGAGATCATGCTTGGCTGCTGTTACCCGAAAGCGGTCTTGACAATGATCGGTACCAGAACGCCAGGAATTCGGATACTGACGAATTGATCAGAATTGTAGGGCAAGGGACGAACGTGAGAACTGATGCCGGTGTGGCTGTCGCTCCCGGGAAGGGGACATTGCCCATGGTTGATGTATTAAAATGGGCTATACAGGAGGTGATGAAGCCATTGGAGATGGCCGAGCAATGACATCGGCTAATAATTTGGCAACATATTTCATTTCAGAGCCGTAACCATGTGAAGTTAGATGACATCAACCAAATACGATTTTCCCAGCCTTCAATGTTGCCACCAGCTTGTGGTTCGAGCTCTGCTCTGTCCAGGGGAAGGGCGACTTCATTCTGCAGGAAGGCTAGAGCTCGTCGCCAACGGGTCCCATCCATCCAAGCCAGTAATCGATTCTATCCCTGAGGGAGAAATGACCTTGATCTTCATCACGGCTGCTACCAGACTTGACACTCGCTGTTGGCGTGTCCTTGTCTTCCACAACATTCTCGCGAATGTCCTCTGTCTCATCGTGAGCCGCTTGTCCAGATTCCTGACCATTTAAACCGACGTCTGCCACATAAGTCCGTTGAATGATTTCAGGCGTGTCGCTCGCAATGGCTCGCTCTGGCGCAAGCTCATTATCCAATAGCTCAGGCCGAGAATCCCGGTCTTCATCGCTTGGAAAAGCTAGTCCGAGTAGCTCGCTGTTTGCAACAGTCAAGTTCGTGTCTGATTCTCTCAGAACACAATTCGACACGCTGGGGCAAGGAGGGATCTCAAGATAAGATGTGAGGATCACCCAGACCATCGAGATACAAAGGCTTATGACTAAGCTTTGCATGCAATATGCCATGGAGTCTGCCACTACGTTCGCGAACGACGTCCTCAACGTCTGGGACTTTGCCTCAGGCGGAAATGGCTCGTCGAAGAAATCCTTTCCTGACTGAACAAGATCTTCTTCGCGATCTTCCGAGTCATCTGCGTTGTGCTGCCCCCGGACACCTTCCCGATCGAACCCCACTACCCTTGCAAGTTGGTGTGCTGTTTCCTTGCGGTACTCCGCTTCCAGCTCAGTGAATATTTGACGAAGATCATTCCTGTTACTCTCACAAGTGGTTGACGAGACTGGGTAGATCCGTGGTAGCCAGTTTACAGCTTGTTGGCCAGGAAGCTTGACCTTCCAAGTCACACCAAACATATCCAAGTCTTTGGGAGAGCAAATGACCTGGAGGTACGAAACGCTGACTGGAATTCCTTTGTTTTCCAAGTTAATCATCTGCAAGCCCGTCTCCTGAGGCTCAAGCCGGCAATGAAAACGACCCTCAGGGCCGCCATCCAAACGTAGGAAGAAGCAACACTTTTCCGCCCAGAAGCAGCGATTATGCAGCCTCAAGGAGCACATGGCAGTGTAATTTATCATCACAGCTGGTTGAATGCCCTTTCCTTCATGATCGGTGCTGGCAATGACTTGATAGTCGGCTCGAATCTCCTGGTCCACGGTGAAGTCCTTGACGATGCCGTAGAATTTCTGGTCGCAGACCCGTAAAGGAACGACAAGGTCTCCGTGGTTGACGAACTCAGCGAAGAAGCAGTTCTCCACTATCTTGTACCGCTGCAAGTTGGTAGTGCGGAACTCTAAGCCATGTTTCTCGGGGATCTGAAATAGGAAAAATCCACTCTCGCCAGCCCTCATCCTAGGAAGACCAGGAATGACCAGATTACTCCATCCTTTCGACTTGTCTTTCTCAAGAAGGACAGACACAGTCACGGTGAACTTGTATATTGCTGGCCTAACATTTTCAGGGTTTCGAATGAAGAGGATTCCATTTTTAAAGTCGAGTTTGGGCTCGCTCATGGACGATTGGTAGTCTTCGCAATCGCAGGCTAGGTGATCTTTAGGATCATGCGCCAGAGTTTGGTCCGCATCATCGTGCTCTGAAACCGGGGTTTTAGGTGCCGTCATGTCTCGATCGGAATTATGGCTCAACGTTTCCGGCTCAACGTGTTGGTCAACGGTGATTGTCACACCCTCGGACTCTGTTTGAATACGAAGACCACCTAGGACATTGTGCATGCCAAGGGTCGCCTCAGGGGAGTCCGTGTCAGAGTTGTATCTTGGGCCCTTAGTATCTTCTGTAGCCACAGATTCATTCGCTTCAAGAGAGCCTGGAGACGTCTCAGGAGTTGACGTGACGAAGAAGTCAGAGTCTCCCCACTTTCTGCGGAATGTTTCAGTCATAGTTGTCTCGGTTGGAGTGGGAGCATCTTCCTCTTCAGTAGGCTTTTTACTATGTGCAGCGATTGATGTATCTTGCAACCCATTTGGCGCTGGAATAGAGACTGTACCTCTCGCCACGTCCTTGTCCAGCCGAGTTACGGGCTTCGGGATCATGCTAAGTGTTCTGGAATGTTTCCTGGGAGAGTTCCGCTCTGAAGACTGGATTGAAGGCTGGAGCGCTCCTTCCTTCCCCTCGCTTGCACTTTGAGTCCGCTTATCAGGCTCCAGGGCTGATTTAACACCGCCAACGTCGCTGATGATGCACTTTGCGGACGGTTTCATGCCGGAAGTCTTGGTTCGCTCTGAATCAGACCCAGAATCAGTAAGGGATGCGTCAGATGCACTCCTCTTCCGGCCTGGGTTCTGCATCTTGATCCAGTCGGCACAATCTGCAACATTCAAGCGCAGTCCAGAAGAGAGATTGGGTGCGGAGGAGAAGAGGTGCGACGAGGGCTCAAATTCCCCGTCGTTGCCGCAGCCTGCAACGGCTTCAAGGGAAGAAGACACAGTTGCATCCTGAGAGCTGATGCGAGATTCTCTCGCTGCGGTAAAGACGTCTCCCTCAGGAGTGCCTGAATTGTAAGAAGTGGTACCGTCATCAGATTCTGGTGCGGAGAAAGCGAACAATGGGCTTTGAGGCGAACTGTCACTCGACTGGTCTCCTTGGCCCCATTCGTTGGATTGGAGGCGGACGGAGAAGGTCTTGATGAGAGACATGTTTACAGATCTGGTGTTGAGAAGCTGAAGTTGCGTGTTTGGGACGCATCGAACCTATGTTGACAGAGAGAATGACAGCGATCAGTACGAAACTTCATCAACCTGGAATGTCAGCTTACCTCAAGGGAGATTCTAAGGCCTACTGGCTCAAGCTCATTGCCATTCCAGGTACCCCGTATCTCCAAACAGCTGAACTCGGGCGACCGCTGAGGCAATGAGCTCCCATGGGCCTCGCCCCGTTTTGCTGGAGAAGCCATGTGCTTTCTGACGCACTTATCTGCTCTTAGTTAGCTATCGCAGAGATAAATCTCAGGTTCGATGTATCTATCGTCGAAAAGGGCAGAGCGATTGAAGGACCGAAGACGGTGACGATGAGTGCACTGCGCTGGGAGAACGTTGCGCAAGGTAAGGTAGTAGAGGAAAAAGGATGATGAAAGTGAATGAGCTGAAAGTCAGGGGGAGCAACGACCTAAGACACACACGCTCTTTGGTCCAGGAAGGGAAGGAGCGCTGTGTTTATACTAACGTGAGGCACCCACGCATGACAATCGCTTAGAACAACAACTCTTTATGTTGTTGTTCCATATCTTGTCTTAGGCAGACTTCAAGCTATGCCACTTTTTTCTAATCACATACTAACAGGATGACCTTATATCCTTCAGCAATTATTGTAAGGATTGATAATTCAACAGTTGCCCTGAGTGAGCAGACTCAAATGCTAAACCTCCTCACCGGGATATGTAGGTCCCGATTTGGCACAGCCAATATGTACAAGAATATTTGAACGACGTCATTTCAGACGCGAACAGTGACAAAGAAGGAAGAGGAAGAAGCAAAGTGAAAACAAGAAGAATCAGAGAAACCCGCCAGCACGGTCACTCCTTGTTTTGTCCCATGCGCCATGTATAACCCGCCAGCCACCGATTCAGTTCCCGTAACACCCGCCCATCGGTCTATCCAAAACAGAAACGTGATAAAGATAGAATCAAACAGAAAGCAGAAATAAAGACAGTCCTCCGAGAAAGGCCCTTGACACCCCGAAAGACTTTTTTTTTCCCCTAATGGAGTATAAGAGTGGTAAAAAGACATCAGCAGAAGAAAGTAAAAAAGCAATCCGTAATCGCGTAAATCCATTATCGGGGTGTCCCATTATGTGAGCCAGGATGCTCAAAGGTTGTTTGACCGGGCGCGGCACCATATCGATCCCCTTCGGTTGAACCCATGGGTTGTGACGGGAGAATAGGAGTTGCACCTTGTGACGCCTGATCAAAGTAACCTCGTGCAGATGCACCGTTAGTCCCTTGTGGAAAGTTGCGATTCCGTTGCAAAGGTGGTAAAATTGTAGAACTTGTTTGGTACTGTTGCGTTCGCGGTTGGGGATATCCTTGCGGCATCATGGCGGCCGTCGAATCTGCGGTCTATTTCAGAAGAACAGGAAATCCTTAGCTATCGTCTTTAGAAGTCATTGGCTTGTGAAGGGTCCATACAGGAGTACCTGGCTGGTTCATCATTCCTAGAGATTGCATCGTCGCTTGCTGGCTGGAGCGTGCGTGGGCCGCTGGATCCTGCATCTGGGCCACTTGAGCGGATGGCGGGATCCCATAGGACATCTGCGCATCAATGTAAGCAGAGGTTCAAGCTGGGGCCATATTACCGGGTCTCGGGGATTTCACAGCAACCATGGATTCCGGTGAACCGTAAGATGCCAGGGCAGCCACGGCAGGTTGTGGTTGACTAACCGCATAATCTGGTACTCCCGCATGTCCAGCAGGATATCCTTGCATCATAGGTGTCTGGTAGGTACCTGGCTGATTCGGATACATGGCGGTGGTTTGTGGATACGCATCCACCTGGCGTATCCGACCTTCGGCGTCATAGATGCCTCTGTTCCCGTAATCCACAGATGTCCGCTGACGTTTGACCGGTGTCCCGTAGTATGCATAATCTCTGCCTGCTGCCGGATAGCCAGTGAAAGCGTTCCCCGACATCTGCATCGAGGACCGGTCCGGGGAGCGAGGGAGTGGCTGCTGGGGATACTCTTCCGGCCGTGGCGGCCGTTTCCTAACAAAGTCAGTCATATTGTTATGGTGCAAAGCTGAGAAGCGAAATTCACAGGTCTCGCCGAGTACATACAGAGACAGTGTGCGAGGCTCTTTTCTGATCCGTAGTTTGACACCCTGGTCGGCAAAGGACCGAGAAAGAAAGGTGGATTCTTGCATTCCAGGGAAAGTCTTTGGTGGTGAAACTGCATCCTTTTAGTCTGCACCACTCGCAGAATTAATAGGCGCAAGATTGTCATACCAGTGAAGCGATCAGAGATAATGGATTTTAGGTAGGTAACCACATCCCTATGCACGGCGAGATTAGCGCTCTGGCATACTTATCAACAATCAATGAAGGAAGGCACAGGTTGCTCACTTTCGCATCTCAAACAAGGTAAACTTCAGTCGGAACTCCCCTTCGATTTTGACGGACAAATCCCCAAATACAAAGAATCCGCCGTCTGCGCAGCGCGAGTCAGCAACGAAGCAGTACCACCTTTTACACAAAAGTAGGCTTACCATTATTATCCACATCCTTCAACCGGTGAAGCGACGAGACAAGGGTGCCTGCCAAAGCTGTGGCCGGCGGTACGGGAACTGGCTGATCTTCATTGGCATCGTACAGACTGCAGCACATGAAATAATACGGGCTCTGTAGGTAGTGTCTACTCATGCAAATTAGCCCGAATCTTTCTCCAACAAGCCGAAACAAGCTCCCATCGTGACTTACTGCGCGAGATAGCTCCCTTCCTCTCTTACCCGGAGTTGCACAATCGGCGGCGGATCGACTGGCTTGCGTTCTGAAGAGCAAAAGTCCCATGTTAACGTCTATTTGGTCCCAAAGGAGGCTCGATGAGAGCTATGAGTAGAGTCTGCAGTCCCCAACGTACCTTTCTCCTTCCCACCGGCCACGCGCGCCCGATTGGGCTGCTGGCGAATGATCAACTCGAAGTCAGAACTGGTGTTGGACAACATTGTCAGTTGGAGACCCTGGACAGCTGAGTAAGAGTCGAGAAGACCATTCCGGTGCGAAGGAAGGTCGGACAAACCTCTGGGATTCGCGGGAAAGAGAGGCGTCTGAGAACGTCGACGCACTCATCAAGGCGAAGATCTTGTCACAGAAGTACCAGGTAGTAGTAGAGCCGGGGGATCCAGGTCGCGGTTGTCCGTCAGAAGAGCGCGCCAACGAACCACGTACGTATCGTACAGGGTTCACCAAAATCGAGCAAAGCTGGATAAATGCTCAAGGGAAAGAATAAGTGGTTTTACAATACCAAGGGAAAAATGAGATAATAGGCTGGAGATTTCGGCTCTCTCTGGAACCTTGCAGCGGACACTTGTGGTTCGGACGGAGCACTAAGGCAGGTAGAATAAAAAAGGACGATCCCTAGTAGTAGTAGAAGTACCCAGTGGGGTGAAGGGACAAGGTCCAAAGAAGAGGGGGGGGGGTTAGGAATTGTCGTTGGTTAAAGACGGACACGACAGAGTATGATTGATTGATGATTCTAAGTAGTAGTTGGAGAAATGGAACTGGTCCAAGGTCCAAGTACCATGGGTGGAGACGAGCTGTGGGAATTTCAATACCAACAGCTCCCAGTCCGGAACCGCTTTGAGCGTTGACAAAGCTGAGCAGGGCAGCTACCTTAAGGTAAGGTAGGTGCCTTAGGTCGTGCGGGCGAGGTAGGTGGTGTTGGTGCGTAAGCTGGCAAGTGGTAGTGTGATGGGTCAATTCCGTCGCTTCCCTTTCTTTTTTTTTTTTTTTTTTTTTTTTTTGTTTTCTTCTTTTTTTTTTATATATATTTTTTGTTCTTTTTCCCCCTCCTTGCCTTGGGTGTGATGGAAAAGGGCGGTTTACGAAAACGGCGCCGCAGGGACCCAAGGAACAGTTTGAAGGCAGAGAGAGATGGATGGATGGTGTCGTCAGAATGCAAGCGGCAAGAGCCAGCCGAGCACGGTTCCAGACAAACCTTAACCTGTGCTGTGAGGAAAGACTGCCGGATTTGCGCAGTCCAGCAGAAAAAAAAAAAAAAAAAAAAAAAAATGTTGTAAGGTAGCAGTTCGAAAATGAATATTCTCTTGTTTGTTTCCGCTCTCGTGATGACGATGTAGATGTCCAGGAATAGGAAAGCTGATGGAAAACGAGCGAAGAAAAAGGGCAAAAATGAAGATTCGAGACAACCGTTGCCGACCGTATATGCTCGATGCTCGTGATATGCAGCGCGAACCCTCTGTCTGTCCCTCTTCTTGTTTATCTTCCCTTCCTCTTGGTCGTCGAAATGCTTCAATGATATGACGATATAGAGGTAGGGGGAAAAAAAAAATTGGATGGTCAAAGGATAAAACAAGAAGGTTATTGGGTGTGGTTCGGGCGGGATCAGAAGACCGCTTCAGCCCAGAGTTGAAAGAACACAGCTGAACAATGGGTCAAAAGTCGCCTCCCACAGGTCTGAGGGTCTCTTGACACACAGGAATCCAAGGGAAGAAGGCGAAAAAAGAGGAAAATTTTACTCGAGTTTTCAGATAAACCAGCTGAACCAGATAATGAAAATGTGTTCCGGTGGAGTAGTACCAGGACAGTAGACCAACGCCGGTGACTTTTTCGGCCGGCAGTCCAGTCGTTCTTGAAGTTGAGGGAGAATCGTTACCAGTCAGGTCGATACTCGACCACGGTTGAGAAAACGGGCTAAGGCGTGTATCAGTCTTGATCATCCGACAGGAACCGTAGAACATCTGAAGATGATGCGCACATTGGCACGCCTCGAGGGGTAGGAGGACTGAATGCTCGAATGAAACGAAAGAATAGAGCAGGGAGTGTAACCAGAATCTGAGATTCAGTTCGGACACCTGCGCAAGTCTCAAACTTTACCCTCGTCTAGGCCGGATCGATGGGGGCAGTTGATCGAGCTAAGCATGAAATCCACCGCGTTTGCGGCAAACCATTACTCGCTTCCCCGAACAAAGCCCCAACCCACAGGCGCAACGGTTGGCCTTGTGCGCGGAGATAGAGCCGATTATGCAAGCGATTAGACCCGTTTTCCTCACTATCTAGACGCCGCGCAGGGTCTCCCTAGTCTCCCGGCTCCCTTGCAGACGCCAGAGCCGCAGAGCGTGGGAGCGATGGTGCCGGTGCGCGCGCCTAAGCATTCCAGTCTGAGTCTGGTCGCGCAATTCCCATCGCTTATTCGTTCCACCCTAAACTTTGATCGTCTCTTGGACTCTTGACCGGCAGTTCGGGGGAACAATCGCCTTTCGTAGATCCCTTAGTCTCCTTTTCCCTCTTTCTGATCCCCCCTGGCTCTCCGTCTAGGTTGTTTCCTTCAACGTACTGTTTGAATCAATCAACAATGCGCTCATAGACACAACAGAAGAACCAAGGGAACAGAACATACCTTAAATTCTCTTGTTCCCCTGATGTCGATCCAATGGTTTCCGTGTTCCAATTGAGCTAGGATCCAAGGGAAGGAGCTCACTTCCAGTAACGAGAAACCCAGGGCACCAAGGCCCACTCGATAACCGTTGAAAATCCCCGTCCGACACTAAGAGAGTCGTCGTACCTCAACAAATAAACAATGGCCTTGCTTCTCCTGGTCGCTCAATGGAGTTAAGATATCCTTCTCTGTCGCGAGTCTCTTGTCCGTCAGCACCAGGTGATGGACGGAGGATTCTCTGCTGTCCCACGAATGCGCTTCAGGCCACGAGATGCCGAATCGCTTCCCTCTTCGCTTACGGCTGAACCAAGTGAAGCCCTCTTCCTTTCACCCCAATGAGCTCCACTGTTCTCAACTCGATCACCGTTAGTCTAGACAAAATACCGGTTCGGCTGCGTCGGGGAAACAGTCTGCATGCAAGGGAATCCTTGCGTGGGGATAAGGGGTTAATCGGAAATCGGCCAACAAGACTTTGCTGGTCATATAGAGGGAGTGACGAACAGTTTCACCAGAAGTCTGGAGTAGAAAGTGGGAGCCGGGTGCCTTTTTCTCACCGCGCAGTTTGTGCAATGAAGGTCAGGCCGCAAATGGCCAAAACTCGCATGATCTTAGCTTGGGTCCTAGGGATCTAGCTTGGTGGATATATCACATTGGCTTCTCTTGACATGCAGGATGCGATGGCTGCACGCAAAACACAGTGGCTGAGAGGATAGTTCAGCTCCTAGTGCATGCAGCTAAATCGACGAGGCTAAGGGGTCAAGAAAGTCAATATGATGCAAAACGACAGATCTCTTGATCGACGAACCACCCGAGTGCAGTAGTATGTGGTCAAAGTGTGAGATTGATTCTCTGCAGTCGAGATGCTGACCTTACTGAAATAGAGCTGAGCTACGCTGGCCTTCCCCCCCCCAGGGGTGCAGGTCCTTCATGCACGCTGCGTCTGGGAGTCGCAATACCGACAGTGCGGCTGAGTATTACACATTTCTCTTTCCCATACAACGGACGAGGTTTTCTTTGGTCGATTGACCTTCAGAATTCACCTCTCACAAGGTCAACGTGCCAGCGTCCCTGACAAATACGGATCCTGCAGCTGCACTCAGCTGTCCTCACCTGCAAGAGTACTTAGAATAGCAGGAAATCCACAATAGCCGCTCTCGAAATTTTGGCCTCACTGCGCTGGCTCATCACAGTTTGGTCCCTTCATTAGCAGCAAATTCCGGCGCTGGTTGACGACGATGGAATCGATGGACCGCTTTGTGTAAATCCAGGAAACCCAACGTTGACGTGAATATGCAGACATGGCAGTATTAGTCCCATCTGAGCGCAAGCGAGGACATTGCTATTGGCGACAAACGCGCAAGGGTGGCATGGGCCAATTCCTGCATATGTAAAACACCGTGACAAATGAGAATTCGGCGGACCGCAGAGGATTCAACAATATCACGCCGCTGAACGATGATCTCCATTCCAGGAAATGGGACGAAAGCAATCACGATAATAATACAACAAATTCAGGAAGAACAGATGATCCATAAACTGACATTTTGGGGGCTGGGCAGTTATGACGGGTGACAGTGACTCTCAAGGGTCGGGACGACGGGATGCTGCGGTATAATTAAGTTAAAGACACAAGGTTATCAAGCACTGACCAATATTCATATTGCAGTTGACTGATTCCTGGAAACAAACACTTTCTGGACGCCATTATTGTCGTTGTGTTCGCAGTTGGTCAAAATCCTACCGTACCCGCGCGAACCACGTTGCAATGCCGTAACATGCTGCATACGAGCACAGCCATCATTGTGGACTGTTGATCCATGGCGCGCGAGATATCAGTATTTTCGGCCTTTTTCGTTTGGAAAACAGCTCCGGCCAAGGCTTTGCGATCTGCACCGTGGATAGGAGACCACAACAAAGTTTCAGAACTTTTTCTTCCTACGCTGTCAACTCCTGAACAAGTCGAGGACGAGACAATAGGGGAGAAGGGAAACGGTGGGAAAAGAAGGGGAGAAAAAGAAAAGAGCAGAAAGAAAAATAAACGAACACTCTGGACTCAAATCGAGCGACGAACGATTTTTAATCTTTTAATTATGCCGGCTTCTACTTTTGTCCTTCTACATAATGAAGTGGGGATCAAAAAGCTGCAGGATGAACTGTCGCGGACTTCATCGGCGCTCCAGCTGGTCTAGCACAATGGCACACACAACTCGAATTGTCCACCCCCTGTTCCACTGGATCTCCGTTTACACTTGTCCTCTGGACTAACCTGCGAGTTCCAGTCTTTAAAAGAGTCAGATTCGTGGTTTAAATAGCAGTCATTGGAGGTCCGGTTTTACCAGGTAAGTAAGGTATTGCATTCGCAGCTAACTTGGCGCTTTTTCCATAGAACCCACCAAGTATCCACGGAGAACAGTTAACAACGACCAGCCTGTTCTGCTTATGTGCTTCTCATCGGTGTCAGCAAGAAGTGATTTGCAGGGTCAAATTACCCTGCTATATATTTATCTAAACATACCCCGTAAAGGACTTCGTGAACTGAAGGGAGCA